TTAAAAAATTAAGCATATCAACTTCAAAATCTTGTAACCCATTATACCAATTTAGGAACGTAAGTCATTCTTAAATGTCACTCTTCCAAGGTCTGTATATTGTATATTTCTTTTATAGATTTGTGACTTCCACTCTTCTATATCTTACAAGAAATGTTTCAGAAGAGTACCAACAGCTCCATTCTGTATTTTTTATCAAAATATTATGTTTCATTCATCAATTGGGAAAGGTGATAATTATGTAAACAATAGTCTTATTAGTCTTCTTATTTATTTAACACTCATGTCTTGGGACTGCAGAGAGCAGATTATGCCTGAATTCACACAATAAAAGCTCCAGAACTGGGGCTCCCATGGTGTTTCATAGCCCCAAGGCTCATTTTACTCCTGTTCTAGTCTAAACTGCAAGTGATATAAAATCAATGTTATTATAAAAGCAAACATTGCCCAAAGCACAATGGGTGTCAATTTTGGCTGGGTGCCTTTATGTGCCACTTAAACAATTACGTAAGGAATATTTGTTGGAAATGAATACCTCAGTTTTTTAATGAAAAGATTTTGCTGTCAACTAACAGAATTTCAGAAGACAATCAGCTTGCGTTTCATAGATTACAGCAAAGCTTTTGATACATGGATCATGAAAAGCTATGGTTGGTTTTAAAAGAAATGGGCATGCCACAACATCTGGTAGTTTTGATGCACAACCTGTACTCCTTATAGGAGGCTACTGTTAGAATATGGAGAAACAAAATGGTTTCCAATTGGTAAAGATGTCAGACAAGGATGTATTTTATCTCCCTACCATCTCTTCAACCTATACGCAGAACATATTGTTAGGAAAGCTGGATTAGATTTAGATGAAGGTGGAGTGAAAGTTGGCGGAAGGAACATTAACCATCTGCGCTATACAGATGACACCACATTATTGGCAGAAAATAGTGAAGACTTGAAACAACCACTGCTGAAAGTTAAGGCAAAAAGTGCTAAAGCAGGCTTACAGCTGAACATCAAGAAAACAAAAGTAACAACTATTGGGGAATTACACAGCTTCAAGGCTGACAATGAAGAAATGGAAATTGTTCAAGGTTTTCTATTCCTTGGCTCCATCATCAACCAAAAGGGAGACTGCAACCAAGAAATCAGAAGGAGATTGGGACTGGGAAAGGCAGCCATGAAGGAGCTAGAAAAGATCCTTAAATGTAAGGACATGTTGCTGGCGACCAAGATCAAGATAATTCGTACCACAGTATTCTCCATTACTATGTATGGGTGTGAAAGCCAGGCAATGAAGAAAGCTGACAAGAAGAAAGTTGATTAATTTGAAATGTGGTGTTGGAAGAGTTTTTTTTATGACTACTGTGGACTGTTGTAGACCAAATCAAGCTGGAACTCTCCCTAGAAACTAAAATGACTAAACTGTTGTATTTTGGTTACATTATGAGAAGACAAGAGTCACTGGAAAAGACAGGAATGCTAGGAAGTGGAGAAGTTGAAGGAAGCAGGAAAAGAGGACAACCCAACATGAGATGTGTTGCCTCGATCAAGGAAGCCGCAGCCCTCAATTTGCAAGACTTGAGCTAGGCTGTTAATGACAGAACATTTTGGAGAATGTTAATTCATAGTGTCACCATAAGTTGGAAGGAACCTGACAGCACTTAACACACACACACACACACACACACACCCCAACCAGAGAGACACTAAAGTCAGATAATGCTGACTTTTCGCATACCATGAATGAACATTACTTTTAAGAATAATTTTGGGAGAGGAACTAATGCTGGAAGCACTTACAGAAATCAGCTGACCAACAGAATCTCATGTGATACTCCCGTTAAAGAAAACTATTCAAAATGGAATGCATATATGGTCACAAACTATTATGAAATGTGGGAAAATCAACACAACATATAATGGAAGTACAGAACCACTGACAAACATGGCAACAGAAACATGTTTTGTAAGTTGGATAGCAATCCAGCTCTGCCTCACACACTGTACAAGTGCAGATCAAGGGAGGTGTCCAATTGTTACAGCAAAGGGGGAGCATGACTGAGGTGAGTCAAACACTCTTTTTATGTGTGCTGCAGCACCTCCATTCCCCTAAGGCACTTTTACCCCAGCCACGCTCACTTCCTGTCCTGAAGCTTGCCTTAGGAGAGGGGGGGGGAGGGGAATACACTGTGGGGAAATGAGCCACAGAGGGAGGAAAGGTTTAGCAGCCTCTCACCCACAGAATCCTTTTGCTCTAAAACGCAGCCCCCCTCTCTACTTGCCACTTTGCATGCAATTAAGGCAGACTCATCTCCTACTGAAGTCATGTATAGTTTCAGAGACAAGTTTGAATATCAGTAAAATCTCTGATGTCTATAATTCAGCTACTCTTAAATATCGAAGCAGCTGAGTTGGGATAATACATCTACTATGATGGACAAAAACCTGTTCTCTTATAAATGAAAATGAATCTTTTGTAAAGTAAATGATTCCCACAAACACTTAGAACATTCAACAGAGCAGCACCTCTGCAAAGCTACTTCATTTTCCAGGTGGAACATGGAGCTTGTACCATGAAAGACAGTGCAGGTGTCCATTAATATGGAATGTAGTGACTTTAAGACAATGGGCATTCAGTGGAGAGAAGTGACCATGGAGATGGTGCCAGAACAACAATGTCAGTAAAAATGAATCTCTGCCTAGATAAAAGTACCTCCAAATTAACCAGCAGTCAAAAGCTATGCAATTATTTTTCCAGAACACCTATCCAAGTGTTATGAGGTATAACTAAGTAACCATAACAAATGCTTTTAAAGACATTTTCTTGCCATTTAATCTGGAACATATTGAAGAATAAGGCTTTGAACTTTGCTGTAAATATTGCCCTACAATTAAATCTTTGCTCACCCTACAGAAAACTGAATATTCTAATTTCTTATTAGAAAAATTCTTTCCAATCCAGTTACAGTGCTCCATAAATATAAAGGAAATATAAAGGAAAAACAAGTATCTAACATAGTACCATTATGGCTTTAAATAAGTATGTGCACTTGATATTATTTATATTCCTCATGCAGATTGCTTATATGATATCAGTTGGGAAAATGGGAAGTGAATTATTTCCTTTTCAGCATTTTCTTTTTATAGGCATAATACTACAATGTTCTGTTTGGCCTCATATATGTACTGTTTGTGTGTTTTACTGTTTTGATAAGATCAAGATCGGTAGCCGTGTTAGTCTGTCTATAGCAGTAGAAAAGAGCAAGAGTCCAGTCACAACTTAAAGACTAACAAAATTTGTGGTAGGGTAGGAACTTTTGTGAGTCACTGGTATCTGAAGAAGTGAGCAGTGACTCACGAAAACTCATACCCTGCCACAAATTTTATTTTGATAAGAGTATTGAAGGAAATATGATGTTGACTGTAATTAATGTATCATATTTGAACAGCCTTACAACTTTATGTATCTATAAACTTTTTAAAAACAACTTACTTTTTTGGGAATTGTAGTACATTTAATAAAACACAAGACAAAATAAAAACCCACAAATCTATATACAGCATTCATCATTTTCCCCAATCCATGCTACAAAGTAGCCTACGATACACTCCTTTCCCATTTTAATTTAATATCTTAGTAATAGTAGCTGCGGTGGCTCAAGTGGTTAAGACGCTGAACTGCAGGCTGTGGAAGGTCAGTAGTTCAGCAGTTCGAGACCCGGGTACCGCATGATGGAGTGAGCTCCCATCTCTAGTTCCAGC